ATTTCGCAGGAAAAAGTCTCCGACATGCTGGTCAATCTATTTGGGGCCGAGATGGTGAGGAATCTCCGGATCCGTGAAATTTATGTATGAGCACCAAATTTCCCTGACTTTTGCCACCCCATCCATCAATTTCAAGTGTGATGGAGAAAATTTCTTGACCATGGGAATATGCCTTTGACTCTTTGGGCTCTGATGGGATTTTCGCCCAGACATTGCGATTTAATCTTCCTCCCGCCTGACAAATGTGATTTGCATAAAATTTGTCCAAATTCTCCCGAGAGAAAATCTCTGTACCACAATTTTCATTTGAAATTGCACTCTTTTGCCTTTTCCCAAAGTCGTCGCCCCAAAAATATCCGAAAATGTTGAGTATGTGCGGAAAATTTTGCACAAGAAGCTCTCCAGTCGAGTGAAGGGATTCAATTGTGAAAGCACTTTGAATACATTTTCGCAGGAGAAGCGCTTCCCTTTCGCGCCATGATGTGCACTTTTGCACCCCTGGAGGAAAAAATCCACTCAGGCGGATTCTATGGGGTTGCGCGGGGGGTGTATGGCTCAAGGGGTGACGAGAGGCTGTCGATAAATGGTTGTTTTGTTGGCACACTGATCAGGATTGAATTTACATTATCACGCCCTTCGCTTCCGCCCACACTGGATGTTGCCGGGAAGACGGTGTTGGATTGAAAGAAATCCATTGAGACATATAATATGTACATTATACACTGTGTCTCAAGCTCCCTTCCACCCCACAGATTCAATCCAGTTGCACACTGTCGCGACACCCACGAATATGTGTCGCTCAGAGTGTATTTTGGGTGCTTATCCCTGTGGAACAGATGTTCTCTCACACTAATGGAATTCCGCTTCTCGCATTCACTCGCCAAATTTTGGCTACTTCAAGCCCAAAGGTAGGGATTTATGAATTCACTTTGTTAGCTTAAATACAAGTTTAGAAAAAAGCTAGCAAAGTCAATTTTTTTTCATGAATACTTGATTTACGTGGAGCTAAAAGTCATTTGTTGAGAATTTTGTGCTCAGGAAGTTTAAAATGAATGTGTGAGAAAATCCATTGAGACACACTGAAATATAGAAATTTTGCCATCTCGTAGTTATGGATAAAATCAAAGAATCTTATGTATTTTTTCTCAGTGAAACTGAAACTTGTTGACAAAGAGGAACACTACGCAAATGTCCTGGAGAAGTCAGGGAAATAAGGGAGTTGTTACTTGATTCTCAAAATGTCTCTGGCAGTGAAAAGTTCCCTGGCAAGACGAAGTTCGGAAGAAGAGTCGGAAGATGAAAAGAGGCATTTTGCAGACAATATTCCTCACCAGCATGCAAATATACTATACTCTTCCAACTTGTATGTATTAAAGTCCTCATATTGTTTAAAGTCAGTGCGGCTTTTCCGACAAACTCCGCAAGGTTGTCTTGAGCAGGCGGAGAGTAGGAACAGGCAGGTAATTTTCATCAATCTGCGGAAGAGTGAAAAGTGATGGGTTGATTGCGGGGGAGTTGTGGTAAGTTTGGCAATTTTATCTCTCTCAAATGCACTCTGCCATCCGATGATATGTCACGGAGAAAATTTTATTACACTCTGTCACATGTCGGAGAAAGAGTTTTGCCACCGAATCGAACTATCCTCTCTCGCTGCTATCCTGGTCGCAGCGTCTTCAAATCTCAATTCCAGGAGACCTCCTGCCCAGTACACACGGCGCCGCAGTTGTCTTGGGGGGAGAGTGTCTTATTTTGGACTACAAAAATGCATTATGAGACAGGCGAGTGGCAGTTAATGTCTCTTTCGAGAATTGAACGTGCAATTTTTCACATGGACAACTTCAGCAAAATGGAATTAAGTTGCCCATTCTTCTCTTCGCCTCCAACAACACACACACACATCCCACTTCCCGACCTGGATCTTTTGCACCATTTCAATTTGATCTTGACGAGAGCGAAATCCAGAAAATTGCCACATCACGTCCCAAATGCCAACCTTCTGCACCATAAATATTCATGGAGAATTTATTGATATTGCATCGGAGGTGACAGCCATAATGCATATGGTATGGAAAAATGGAAGTCGCAAGTAGCTTTTCCTGTGGGAATATTCCCTTTGACTCGCAGACTGGAAAAAGCTGAGGCAGAGACAGTATCATTAAAAGTCTATTTGGTGAATAGTCGAGGAGGAAGACACTCTATTTGCATTCGCTCCTCCACAGGGACTGGCAAAAGCACCCCCAGTGGTGCACATTTCCGCAACAAATGATGGATTTTCCGCTGAGTGTCTGTGATGAATTGCATTCTAGCGAAATCACTTCACACTCCCAAGGAAATCGGCATGTGAGATTCAGTGGAAAATATTTCAAGGGGGGTGGAGTTACTCCATTTCATCGTGGAGATTTGCTGAGCTCCCCAACTGAGCTATGCTTAAGCTCTCAATTCACCCCGGAGGTCGAGAAGCGACTGACCACACTCCAACAAGTTCTCAAAGCGCTCCGTCCACATAAATCATTCTTTTCTCTGGCTTTCAATTAACTGATGTGAAGATTCGCTGCTTACAGTATAGAAAAGTTTTTAGGAAAAAAAAGCGAATGGTTTTGAAGTATTTTTTTTTACGCTCTACTCATTGGAAGAAAAGCAAATTTTGTAGTCATCATTTTTCAACTTACCTCCAAAGTTGTTGAAAATTCAATCAGAGTTCATTCGAAAGAAAAAGACTTTTCAGACATGAAGTGAAATCCTCTTAATTTGACTGAGAATCTTCTAAGTAAGCAAATCTATGGGAGATTTTCAAAAAAAAGAGAGCATTGAATCAAAGAATATAGGTTGAATTTTTGGCTCAACATATTGCAGAAATTCAAAATTTTCCATACGAAATTCACATATCATCTTTCCCAATTTATTAACATTTTAATTTGGCAAAGTATGAAACATTTATTGTACGCAATGTCGACTGAAATTCTTCACTAATTGAGCATCGTTAAATTTGTCAATGAACAGTTCCAATTTCCATTCGTATGAAATTGTCAAATTAAATGGGGCTGTGCGGTGGATTCTCTGATGTCGCTGTTGCACTGCATTCGGCCTCATTGAGTGGATGGCAAAAAGCCTCAGAATTGCTCTTGATGCCAACATCAATAGTAATTATTGTCTCACATTCGAGTCATTAAGCTGTGAAGTAAATGAATTGTCAATGTACACATTAATGACATTCCGAAATGCCAGTCAATTTGGCGGACAAGTTGCTGGCTTTTTTCAGTTCTCTTGCGTGGAAAGCGATTGCAATTGGCGATTCATCCACGAGGGGGCTTTGGGGTGTCGATGAGCTTAAGCGATCAAGTGGGGTGGCAATTTATTGGTGACCCTTGTGGAGTGCCCTCTCCGAGCGCCGTAATGCGATGTGCACTGTTTGTACGCACTGGACTGGAATAGGCGATACGGGGTGGAAATCAATATGTGGGCCGAGGGGGCGCCGCAAGTGGTCGGGGGTGCTGATAAAGAAAACATAGAGGCGTGTGTAATTTTCACATTTTTAATAATATATCCTTTTCCGTGTATATAGAATTATTAATGTCCACGTTGAATCAGTACGAATTGCAAATTCAATTATTAAACGCTTTCTCATGTATTTTTCTGGGATATGTTTCACACATCGTTTAATTTATAATTATTTATTTTACTATTTACACTGCCACTCTTACCTTTCAATTATATCGCTAATCATAAATTCCACATTCATATTTTAATGTTCGCGCAAACACCACCAACATTAATCCATTTTTTATTGGATTATTTTGCCTTCGTGCTCTCTGTTTTTTTTTATTTCCGAATATTCCAACTTCCTCTCATATGCTGGATATTTTTCACACATACACACATTCCGGCTATTTCTCTGGATATATGAAATTTACTCTTTCAAATGCTTTTTTATGCTAAAGTTCATGTAACTTTTATGCAAATTCCCTCCTCTCTCTGTTGTGCCACTTTTTTGCCGCGCTAAATATACCCTCCATATCGTATCCTACAAAACCCAGTCAATTATAAGTTTTAATAATAATTTATAATTATATAGGCACTCCATATACACACCAAAATATGTTTCTGTTATTTTGGTTTGCAGGAAAAAAATGTGCGTTTGATGAAATAAAATGTTGTTGAATGCAAACACAACAAAAGACTGGAAATTACCAATGAAAATCCTCTTGCTTCCGTGCATTTTTGTCTGCTCTTCACTGAACAATTTTAATTAGATCTCATTTTTAATTACTACTTTATAAGGTCTGTCAAGAGAAATTACTAAATAATTACCCTCAAATGTTTAATTAAATTTTTTACCTACACCAAAGGTTTATTATTGTATCTGTTGAATTTGCAAAATGGCTTTCTATTAGTCATTTTCACCAAAACACCTCGATTTCCCATCAATTGCCATGTTGTTTTTCAATATGGAAACCATTTTATACCTGAGGGCAAAATAAAACACACGCTGGAAACTGAATAATTACTTTGAGTAGAAGAGCAGCTGAAACTTCGATCAATTAATGATGGGATAACAATGGAGGATATTTTATCGCGTGAATAATTTTTGCCATACCTCAAAGTTTATGTCTTGCAAGTGCCTTTGGAATGAAATTTCATGAAATTGACCGCGTGAATTGACTGAGAAAATCACTCAAACTTCATGTTAATTGAATTGTTGGACGATGAAAATGGTATTGAGCCTGAAATGGGAGAATGGTTGTATTATGTGAGATCAAATTTTACACCTAGTGCCTAAATATTAGGCAAACAAATTTTCGCTGGGAACTTATTTCTATAAAACCAGGACTGAAATTGAATATTACATAAATTTTCCACATCATTTGCGATATTCCTAGACTGTTCGAATACTCATTTGAACTGATAACAAAGTGTATGTTTGATGTCAACAGTATAATTTTGTTGTTTGGGTAAATATTTTAAAAATATTTTCGGTTGATTGATCAATTTACTGATGCTTTTTGCGTTTATCTTTCAATTAGTGCGAAATTGATACTTGATTTTTTTTTAATATCAGTTCAATTTTTTTTTATAATTCAGTGACATAGTAAGACAAAAACATTTTGTAAACTAAACAGACAAATTTTAACAAAATGTATGTGTTCAATATCTCACTATATCACTGTTCATTATGCACTCAATCTGAGAATAGGTATTTTAGGGGCTGAAATCAATGGAATCTTATGAAATTGTTGTCTTACAAAATTTCTCTACATCCACAATTTCATATAGTATCTGATGATGAATTTCGCTCACACCGTTCTCCTATATTTACATAGTCTTGTTTGGAGTCCCTGCAACTCCATGCTTAGTTTAACACTCAGCTGCCCATCCATGTGGTCATGGAGAGATAGAGTGTGGTCACAAGTGAGCAGAGCACCGTATAGAAGTTGATGGTGCGCCCACTGGACGCCTCGAGGTTCTCCCTCGTCACTTGCTCTTGACATCGGCCGATGGCGTACAAATCCAGGTCGCTCATAGGCCGCCCGTTGACTTCCAAGGGTGAGATGCAGAAGTTCTTGGCCAGGAAATCGCTGCCTGAGTGTGTGCCATTGGCCAGTGGCGTCTCCAGGAGCGTATGGATGTGGCAACCGCACGGAAAGTGATTGTTCACCACGATCAGGTGCTCCACGCCATCGATGATGATGGACTCCGGGTCCGGCGTCTCCAGCAGGTGGTTTCCCTGCATCTTGATCTGCCGAATGTAGTGAGTGGCGGTAATGTTGAGCTCTTGGATGGCATCGATCTTGTTGTTGAGGATGTTGAGCGTGGCCACGTGCGACAGGCCATCGAAGGCATTGGCACAGATCACACCCAGGTCCGATTCCTGCAGTGACAGCACCTGAACATTCGTCAGGCCGCGGAAAGTGAAGGGCGCCAGCGAGCTGAGGTCCATGTAGGCCAGCTTGAGTAGACCCACCGTGTCCAGGCCCACAAAGGCGTCCGGCTCCACTGTACGGATGCCGGAGGGCAAGATGAGGTGCTCCACGTTCGTGAGCCCCGAGAAGGCCGATGTGTCAATCTTGAGCATTGGGTTGTTGGACAGAAGGATGAGTCGCACGTTGGACGTGCCAGCAAAGGCATACCTGCGGGAGGCTTAGCGTCATAAAAGCTCACAAGCAACGAGATGTTTCACGAAAAGATTGGAGCAATCTGAACCTACTAGCGAAGTATTGCTGAAATTATGTAGGTCAACAAATTCCTTGATCCTAAATTTGAGCAATGAATTCAATCGCTTAAAGAGAATCGGTCAATTTTCAATACCAGAAGAGCATGCTTGTCATTAATTTCTCCAACCCCCAGTCCTTTCATGAAACATCGCTCGTCGTGGGTGATTTAAGGGAGGACCTACCCCTCGACACGGAGGATTTTGTTGTGGCTAAGGAGGATGGTGGTGATGTTCTGCAGGCCGGCGAAGGCGAATTGTGCCACAGTGGCGAGGGGTGTGTGCTGGATTGAGAGCTCACGCAATCTCGGCAGACCGCGGAAGGCAAACGGTTTAATGGTGGTGATATTGTTCCCATCCAGTGAGAGTTTCTTCAGGGCACGCAATCCCCCAAAGGCGTCACTCTTTATCACGGGAAAGTGATTCTTCGTGAGGGCTAAATTCTCCACTGTCACGGGCAGCAGACGAGCGGGTATTTCACGCAACCCGCCCGTATTGCACAGCACCTGTTTCGGCAGAAGGTGAGTCAGTTGGGCTTTGTGGTCGGGGTTCTTTTGGAGGCACGAACCTGAGTCTGCGACAAGCAAATACATTCGGCCGGACACGCCAGAACTGGCCAGTTGAGGCAGCAGAAGCAGCAGATCAGCAGCCACCAGGAGCAGGTCATCACGCGACTGAGTTGCACCTGCACGGTTTTCAGGCGTAAGTCATCCCGCCGGGAGACACAGCATTTGGTGGTGTCTGCAAGAGGTAAGCGCAAAAATATACTCCGAAGTCATTGAGAGTGGAGAAGTACTGGAAAAGCCGATTATGTGTGTTGCCGTTCTCCACTAAGGCTTACAGCGGAGTCTTCATGAGCAATGAGTTTCTAAGGCTAAGTAGGGAAGCACAGTGGGAAATGGTCTTATGTAAGATTAATAAACTATCATACCCTGAGTATGTACAGTTGTTGCTATATGATTTGAATACATAGATTCTGCAGAACTCTGCAAAATTAGAGATTTTTGAAACATGAGTTTTTAAAAATTTCCTCAATTCAATTCTTTCACAATTTCACTGTTTATCTTCTCAGACAAATATTGAATTGCATTTCACATGAATCAATTTCTGCGTGATAATCATCATTTGCAGATTCATCTCAAATTGAATGTAATTAATATTCCAATTTATTTTATCACTTTTTCCCAATTTAACTGATCTGGGGCAATTATTGTGCTCAATTCTCACCCAGTTTCTGCCATGGGTGAGCATCGCGTAGAAATTGGTGAGTTAGTCACACTGCTGGGCAAAAATAATGTCTATTGGATGGATGCCAGCTGGAAATACAATTTACCCATTTCCTCTCCAGCTTTTCCGTGCGACGCCTTCTCTGGCCGAGGTGAATTCAAAGACATTCACCCACTCACCCAGTCATTTCCATGGCTGTTTTTTTTGCCCGGAATCACCCCAAGAGTGCTCACTCACTCAGTTTTCCACTGAATTTCATTATGATCGATTGGGAATTCCCGCTAATTTCAATCCACTTTCTTCTCTGGCTCCTCTCCAGAGACTTGCCTGCGCAGCGCCTCTGCCACTCAGCAAGTGACATGTTGAAAAGCCGAAAGGAGGGCAGAAACATAGGAAAATCATTCAATATTTCCGAAAGTGAATTTTTCCAATTCCACCTCTGTTCTTCCCACGTTTCACGAGAGAAAATGAAACACGTGATGGACGATGGAACGTGAATGGCAAGGAGGAAAATAATACGGTGAAATTTAACTTTGCAATACACGTAATCAGAAAATAGTTAAGGAAGTTTCTTGCCAGGAAAACTTCTCATCGTCGTGTAAATCATTTGGGGTTTTTTTTCTCCTCATCGACACCACTCAGCATTGCCCCAAACAATGCACTCTCCTTGCTGGCACTCTGTTGCCATTAAATCCGACGAGGCTTAGGAAGAAGTCAAGGGGAGGCGAATTTCTCCCAAGCATCTGCACGTTAGGTTGAATTGTCTGGAATAATGCCTGAATCCGAAACAATACCTTCCTAAGTCACCTATTCATTCATTCTAAATCTTGCTCATTAGAAATTGTATGCTATGTCTTCACTATGTGTAATTGAAGTGTCTTCGAGATCACTCAACAGAACAATGCTTCTTACTTGACTTTTTGAAGCGTTGCACAGCATAATTGAATGCAGATGTGTATTTGCATAGAGCTTCAGCAAGAAGGTGTTTTATGAAAACATATTCCGATCATCAACAAGTCTCAATTAGTGACTTATTAAAGCATCTTTTAAAACTAATTAGTAAACAAAATGAGTGCTTATCAATATTATTCAAATTATTTCAGACTATCTTCTTGAGAAGTTCTCCATGTTGCAGCGCACAGTAGAGAAGTTGTGTGCCTCAAACTTGAAATTTGCTACCATTCGCCCTGAAGCAACAGCATTCCACCCAAAATCGGCAAAGAGGGTCGGCATATAGCTTCGGTTGAGTAGAAAGAAGGTATATTGAGCGTATTGCAAAAATGAAATAAACAGAAACGGAAGTTTCTCTGTTATTTACTCTTTAATTGCCCAACGTGTTACTCGCTGCGATGTTCCTCGACAGCCAAAGGAGTGTTCTTCACCCCCGCATCGAGTGCGGTCATCAGCACACATTCATTTTGCGCTTTTGCCAGCAGTTCGGATATATACATATGTGCCACGGCGGAATATTTTTCCGCGCACGCATTTAAATTCGCTTTGAATAATTAAATAAAACATTTCCATATAGTTTCGGAAATATTAACCATATACACACGGTCTCATGCATATTCCACGGGCGGAGTGTGAGGGTGAAGTGTGAAGATGAGTAGTCGCTGGGTGGAGCTTTCCCATGGGGGGAGGAGAATCAAGAGGATCGAAGCAGAAATGTTGCCACACACCTCTAAATTTAATAATAAATTTGACAATCGAATTTTCACTATTAGTGTGAGTTTCAGTGAAAATAAATTCTCAACATGGGAAATCCATTTGTATCGTCGGATTTTTGTAACTCACGGAAGAATAATGAGAAGCCCAATCAAATTTATGCATTTTCCATTAAATTCTCATTTGACAGAAACCACACCGCAAAAATCCACCGGCGGGTGTACAGTTTTGCGGGGGCGGCAAAGTGAGCAATTTAGAGGTGAAATTTACATAGTTAAAGAGATTTGCACAGCACTAAATAATTTAGGTGCTTTCAGTAGCCACACAAGTGTACATGCAACTGTAATCCGTCCATTTATTTACATTTTGTTGAAATTCTATTTTTGCCCGCCATTCTCCCAATTCAAAATCTTCTAATTTATGCTGCTTTACCACTCATGAATGTTTAATTAATGTTTTTCTGGTCTCCCCGTGCTCTGCACTGAATGTTGGAAAAAAGTCGTTACAGCCAGAGGGTAATAGGGTTTGTTTTCAACACGCTTAAACTTTTGCACAAGACTTTTGCTACGAAATTAAAACATGCATTAACATTTTATCTCATAGTTCTATTTGAAGTCAAGACGTGGCGTCAGGCTAAGTACAGTCATGGTCACTTGCAATAGCTCCGCTAGCCATAAAATTAAAGTTTCAACACAAAGAAATGTATTCATAGAAGAACGTCTGTTGTGAATGTTTCGCCTGCCATTTAAATTTTCAGCAAGTATTTTTGAATATTCTCCCTAATGAATACTTTGCAACATTCGCTATACATTTTTAATCACCTGGGAAAATAGGTGTGTAATTAATTACTGAAAATGCTCTCGGTTTTTGTGCAATTAATTATTAAATTTGCTACATATATAGGATTTTTCAATTTCATGTTATACCTACTTATTTAACATTTAATAGCTCTGATTTGTGGAAAATCAATTCGATAAATCCCATCAAATGAAAGCAAAATTGTGTGCTATTCGTGAAATACTCTGCATTTCAATGTTATTCATTTGAAAGTTAAGCGCATAATCGGTAAAAATGTTGCATTGTCCATTTTATAAATCCAGAAGCCTGACAATTTGCCTGAAAATATACTGTGTTCCCTAAAGTATTGATTGAAAAATTAATTAATTTTCCAACGTTGAAGATTATGAGTCACTTTGAATTTGGTTTTTTTAATTTACACATGCCATTATTTTTACCTAAAATATTTTATAGGAAATTTGCTACGTGTATAGATATGCTGCATGTATAATTTGTAGACAGCTTCTCACAAATTTACCTGGAGGAATATTAAAAATTGACGGATGAAAATGAAGTTTGAAATTCCACGTTGAATAATTCGCCTCACTCTGACAGTTGCAGATGTGAGAATAATCATGAATCATATAGAGTAAGAGAGACTAAGCCCACAAAAGGAACTAATTCCCTAATAAGTCAAAGGCACGTCATTCCTTTAACGCTATGCGCGTAATATTATCAATTTTATATAGCCAACATCTTTACGCGCCGAATGGCTGAAATCCATGTACAATAATTTCCTCTCTCTCATGCGATACAAAAAGGCAATTTGGAATTTTCAAGTATGAAAGAATTCAAAATACAATTCAATTGCAAAAGAATGCTTTACTACACTTTTATTGAATGATTCACAAGTGCTGCATTTGCAACATTTGGTCCGAAAAAAAGCAACGCGAGTTCACACCCCAAAATCAGGAAGCATTTTTGTGCTGTTCACGAGATGAATTTGTAGTTATTCGATTTGTGGTGTGAGTGTGATTTTTGTGAAATGGCACCAAAGTCTGGGTGGAAACGTGCAAAATTAGAAAAGGTTGCAAAGTTTGTTCAGATGCAGCTGCCGAGGAAAATAAACAAATTCGAGAGTGGATGGAGTTCTTCAGCCCACTTCTCCCGATGACTTTCTTCCATCCACTTGTTCTGCATTGTGGCTTCTTTCGTGTTCACACGTTCGCTCACGCCAAAGTGGGATGAGGACTTCTTTCCCGGGAAAAGTTGTGCAATACAAAATTAAATTGTTTCCTTCAGCGCGCGAATTTGCGTGTCCAGGGCTGTGAGTGGATTAAAAGGCGCCTGTAATCCACAAAACTATTTTCCTTACATTTAATTAATAATCCTTAGCTTGTGGCTTGGGTGGGGCGTTGTGTTGAAATTGGGGATTAAAATGGTTGTTCCCTTCGCAACGTCAAGAGTCTTCTCGCTGAGAATTGTGAAAGTTACGACAGTGTTTTCTCTCCATATCTCTGTCAGGAGATACTTTCCTCGCTCCTGGTGATGGATGATGGATTCCCTAATAAACAGAACGTGGAACAATTTGCTCCGCAGAGGGACAAAATGGGTTGTTTTCGCCATCACAGGAAATGTCTATACTTCTCCCGAAAGATATCCCATTTCGCTTGGTCATAGTAAAAAGAAACGGGCAGCCACAAAAATAAATGAATAGCACCAAAGTCACCCTCAACATCTTCAACACCCCTTTGTCAGCTTTTATCTCTTTTGGTCCGGTAATTTTTCCACTTGCTGAATATTGTTTTATCATTTGAAAAGGCATGTCAACGGTCTCATCGACTGCAGAGACGCCTGTTGTTTTACCGTGGAAAATCAATCTCCCACCCACTCGCCCAGACACGAAAATTAAAGTGTTTCCCGGTGAACGAGAACTATGAATGTAGCCAATTCGCATGATTGATTGCGCCCCGCCGCCAGACAAGAGCTCCTTCCCCCCGCCCCTGGAAAAGGATGAAAAGTGAAGAGAAATTTCTCAAAACATGCACGCCATCATAATAGCAAGAGTGATGGCGAAATATCATCCATGGTGAGAAATTTTGCATTCTCACCAGCTAATAAAACCGCGTGCACAGAGGAGAGAAACCATCCTAAACAAGAGTGTCGTGTAGTGAATCAATTTCTCACATTTCGTGCACCATTGTCACATCAAATGTATTGATATAGGGGAAGGAGAGGAGCTGAGTTCAGCCAGGGATGCATTAATCAGACACAATGGCAGGGCGCACTTCCGTGGCGAAAATCCCCAAATGTGAATGTAAAAAATCGAGTCATTATTCCTCGGATTTGCTGCAATAAGCACATGATATATGCAAAGCCTCACGGTAAGTAGTGCCTTCAAAGAATACCCAATTCGGGCTTCTATACAGCAAATCCCCACAGATTCCACTGTGACTATTCAGATCTCGTCTGGGTTTCCTGTCTGCGATGTAAAACGCGGGGATTGTCAATGATTTTTCATCTCAGCCTTTTTTTACGCAGCACATATTGAAAAGAGAATTAATGTAAGGATTCCTTATCAGAGGTTTGCTAATTACTTTGTCGAACTTCAGTTTAAATAATTCTGTGGATAATTAAAATAGTAAAATGAAGTTATGGTGATTTATGCTTGTGAAATATTCACAAGGAATAAAGGATTAAGGAAGATCTCACAGTTTTATTTGCACCTAATCAAAAATGCTTCGTGATAAGATTTGACAAAGTTTGGAAATGTTGAGTCACAGGAAACAGTTTAATTTCCGGCCATTGTCTCTGTATTATCTATGCATGCCTCAAATCCTGAATTCAGAGGTATTCTAATTAATGCACAGGTTTAAGATTTTATTTAATATCAATCTATGTAAAATATTATTCACAGTATTATAGCCTTAGATTATTTCTAGAATGATTTGTGATACTGAAATTTCTCTTAAAAAATAAATTACTCAGCAATTTTTTTGCCATAAATTTGTTCAATCAATTATTCGACATACTGTCACATCACACTTTCAATATTATTTTACGTAATTTTACTGTACCAACTCAATTTTATGGCAATTGAAATTGAAATTTTATTGAGCAAACTTGTGCGATTTTCTCTGAATTTCACCCATCCCTGATGGGTGTGAAATTACGTGAAAGCCCGAGTGGGTGTTCATAATTCATGCAATGGGCGTGAAAGAATGCGAAGTTGGCACTGGAGAGTGCAACAATGCGATGCTTAAGTACGGTGTGATATGCGGACAGAGTTTTTCCCTGGATATCATTTTTCCGACTTACAGAGTCATACGTGAAGATATGCAGCGGCCAGGGATTCATATTCCGAGCCATTTCTGATGGTATCTCAGCGCTGAGCCTCTCTCATTTTCACATTAGGACAGTGGCACAGCATTAGAATTTACACCGCCATGAGTGTATGTATTTCATTTTGCATTTTACGTGCGGAGCGCGAGGGGCGGAAAGTATTCTGCACAAATGTATATGTTGGGGGATGCAAAATTGTGTAATTAAATTGGTACCGGGATTTTCCATAAACACACACGTGCCACCTCATGAATTACTGCCATTTGATATTTACTCAGGCACACAAAGGGATCCACCAGAGTGCATTTTCACCGCTCTTCCTTAACCCAGCACTGCTCCACACTTCACATGGGCCTCACCATGTCGCCCTTGCCTCGACACACGCCAATTCACCCAAGCACACTCAGCATTTTCTTCTTCAGCCACTGGAAAATCCTCAAGTCCGATCCACTGAACACGCGCTCGTGGGTCAAAGGGCAAAGCCGCGAACAGGTTCACTCGACGGCACGCGTTAAACTGAACCATTTGGGTGTCAAGGTGGCACATTGGAGAACAAGTTGCTTGATGGAAGTGCAAGCGACGCTTTGGCGGGAGCTTTTCCCCGCTCACGCGTGCGCAGCGTCGCCGTGGAACGCATTTCCCCGCTCATTTTCCACGGAGAAGTCCGCCACATGGCATAGAATGGGGTCCCAAACCATTTACATCATCATCACACTCATCCCACGGTGAACTTTCGCACAACCAGACGCACTTGCGAACTCAGAGTGAAAAGTTGCGATTGCATGAAATAATCAGGCAATCGGATGCCCTGAGCGTATAGGGAAATGCCAATGAACGCAGATAACTCTGCTAAAGAGTCTATAAAACTTCATCATTATTTCGAAGTGCCTAAAATAAATTCAGAGTTTGGCCTTCAGTTCGCAACTCTTTTTCACATTCAAAACAGGTCGCGGAATATTGGGTTCTTTGAGAACGGGAATTTGTGTCATGATTCTGAAAAACTCGATAGATAGATTCGATGGAAAATGAAATGGTGAACTTTATTTAAATTTACAATTATAATTTGCGAATCTTAAATCTATGACGAGAATCAAATACAACGAATTTCGATAAACAAACAGGGATTATCCATCTCTCATGCATAATCCCTTGAGGTGAAGTGCATGGAAATCGATTTGGAGGAGCAGCAGATTCACATGATCTCACATTTGGCCTTAAGGAGCTTTCTGCTGAATGGTGTAAGAAATTTAAGACAAACACTGAAGCTCAATGTCTCAATTCACCCTCTCGTGGCGCACACCTGCTCCACCTTCTTCATTCTCACAATGCAAATCATAAAAGCATCGCCTTAAAGCTCCTCAGTTAAAGCTTCTCCCCCAGACACCGTGGATCTCCTGCCCCGCTTCCAGTTCATTCTCGGAAAATAAACACGGGGAGTGTGGCAAGAAAAGTTTCACCCCCACCGAGGCTCATATCTCTCCGTCTAAAGTGGTGTATCTCTTAAAAATACAGTCTCTCATGTTCCAGTGTCGCCCTCGAAAGTCATCTCGCCTCTTTCTCGACCCTCATTGAAGTTGGCGTACAACTTTCCATGGCAATAAAAAGCGAAAATCTTTATGAGGACACACAAATTCATGCATTTAAAAACTGTTTTAACATCCGCCAAAACTTTCCCTCTAGGATGGGAAAAAATCGAGACGAGATTGGGTGGGAAAACACTTCAAATGAACTTTGTTTTAATACATATTTCTCATTTCACCATCGCCACATTTGCGCGAGACTGAGTTTTTTGCCTTGAAGTATATTCACTGAGCGAAAAATGCCAACCGCAAAAAGCACCCGTATGAGAATGGTTAGTGCTTTTCGAGGGAAGCTCAATGAAGGTAAATTATATCCAGATCATATTGAGTTTATTTCCGCCATCAAAGGATATTTCCCTTTTCCCGTGTAAACTGGAGAGCATAATTAAGATCTCCATAATATAACTATAGTAGTCAATTAAATTCAAGCAATTGTTTTGCTTCAAGGAAAAGCTTTCCAATGAATTCCTGAAAATCCCATGTAACTGAAAGCTATCTGTATAATATATATAGCAGGTTAAAATGAAAGCTTTTATTCACAATAAACTCGAGAGAACATCCTATTATTTTGCTGAAAATACACTGCAGAAAACAAATGTTATCACACCGAAAAATCACCATGGGGAAAAAGACAGAAATTACCCTACTTTCTTCCCACTTTATTGATGTACTAAGGTTCTCCTTTTCATTGTTAATGATTCGACAGGAGCTGCGATGGCCCACGTGAAGGCATTTCCGTCTACTCAGAAAGAGAGGTGCTTTTATGGCAAAATGAAAATTGTGAGTCATTTTTTGTCTGCACCAATAGTTTGGAGGAGTTGAGATGAAATTTATTGTGTTTCACATAAAATGTAATATGGAAAATCCCTTTATCTTTTTGCCTCTTCGCCATGAGTTTCACCCACCCAGAAGTGTGGGGGTGTGAATGGGAAGGAAAAAAGGTGAAAAGGGTTCAACTGTAGCGTTTTATGAGTGTCTAAACGGGATTAGCCTCCATATTCGAGGAGATTTAGTGTCACATTCGTACCAAATTTCCGACATCAGTTACAAAGAGAGAAGATATGGAGGAAGAGTTGTGAAAAAGTGACATATTTAGATTCTTTGTGAGCCAGAGGCACTGTGATAAATTTAATAAGGTACAACACTCTCCTTGCTGATCAAAGATAAATGCTATCTCTGGTCATCTTTTTTGTAAATGAAGACACTCACAATTTCGGCCACGTTTCGACTAATTATGAAAATTCACTCAGTGTGTCCGGCATAGGAAAAACTTGCCTTTGGAGCTTGGGAAAAGGTGGGGAAAAACGGCCATAGAGCAGGAATTTCTCGACGTAGATAAATTCTGAAGAGGATATGATAAGGGATGATCCGGTAGAATAAATGTCTCAAACGGGTTGAATGAAATAGGAGGGACACATGGAAGGAACTTTCATAAATGTCCACACAGAGTGTCCTTCAAAGGAGAGAATTTATTTATTTACTCCCCAAATTCTTGCAGAGGATTGGGTTATAAAATTTAAATTTCACTGACGTGTGTGATAAAGTAGTGCTGCAATATTGATACTACATTAAGCTGACATTATTAGCTTCCATGAAAAAAAAATATCCCAGAAGCATAATTACGATTTACATCCTTTCGCACACTTCCTTTCCCATCAGACATCCTTGGGACTCGTTCCAACTTTCAGTGCGAGTACACAGACGCTCAATCAAAACTAAACTTGTACATGAAAGTCTTGCATAAAGTTAAAACTAATATTGAGAACTTTGCAAAATGGTTTTCATTTAACTTACAAGTGAACACTGAGAGCAAAACTTTATGCGGGGCGTAAGCTAATGGTTTTCTATCTCTTGACCGTTGATGTTGATATTGATTTGGTATTTTTTGGCTCACTTGCCCCGAAGGATGGGACGAAAAATTCCCTGGAAGGGATGTTTGTATTATGTTTTGTTGCTTGGAAGAGAGTTCGTCTGCACGTGGATTGCTAATTAGCCACTTCAGTAGAGAAGTGTTCAGCTTTATTTATAGAATGTATCTATAATAAATAAGATTGCTAATATGACAATGACAATTTAATAATAGATAATATGTATTCTCCCTGGCATTATGTCCGAGATTCTGCCCTACATAATGCTTTTCTTTGGCACAGCGATAATATATAATCAACCAATGCATGAAATCTGGCCATTCTTTGAATTTGAAAGAAAACCAAAGGTTTTGAGCCTCCTTATATGCAAATAATGGCTCTCACATTGACTTCTCGAGTGCCGAAGAACTTGAAAATATCCCTCCGTTCACCCCTTCTGGTGCTGTGGGTGTAAAACATCTGTTCACCGGCAGATAAAGGATGAACTCCGGACTCCATTCTCATGGGTATTTCACGGTTGTCCGTGGACCAGAATTGGGTGGCCGGGTGGTAAATGGCGTTGAAAGAAGCGTGCCTGTTTGTCCACTGCAAGAGATGCGGGGGGAGAGAGAGAGAGAGAGAGTGAATTGAATGGGAAATATACGATTTTCCTCAATAATGCGAATTCAATTCCATGTGAATGCAGGGAGAGAGAAAACGGAGAATTTGTGAAGAGTTGTGCGCCTGATTGATACATGGATAGTGAGAGAGAGAAGGGGCGGCACATTCTGCGAGGGGGTGATGATTGTGTGGAAAAGTGAACAGCACGTAGAGAAGCCTCCCTTGAAAAGCCCGGACCAAAATGCATCGGGCTCCGAAGTATGGGAAATGTATTCATCAAATCGCTTTTCACTGGGAAAAAGTATATGGAATGCTCAATTCTCTTGCTAAAAAGACTGGAACGGATGATATTGGTGAAAAGCTGGGCGAGGGGTCGATCAGTGGATATTTCCAGGAAATTGAGATGGAATTGCTGCAACGCAATCTGGAACGTTGCTTATAAATTTACACTTAAATTGCATTGATACTTCTGGCACTTTTCCACAAACGCTCGCGATCCGAAATGAAAACCCCTCGAGGATTTCATGTTACCCTTTACGCATTATCTATAGAAAAATATCTTTTTTTTTCTTTCTATACCTACACAAAGTCCAATGCCTTATTATTTCCTTGGCTCAAGAGAAGAAACTCATAAATGAATATCTGTGCATGTATGGTGAAATCTATGTTTGCCATCTACAGAGGATTAAATCCTAAGCTCTGTGTCAGCCTTTTGTGCTTCTCTTCATTGAGTAAATTTGCTTAATGAACTTTTCAATTGAGTAAATCCACGTTCACTCTGGCGTGAATGTTAGCAATGTGTGATAAGTGTCGGTCTGTCCACTTTCTCAGTGTCACGAAGAGCGGGAGAAAAAGCTGTAAAGTGTCAATCTTGTCCACAGAACATGTCATCTAAAGGGCGGAGCATGGTAAATTGCACTTCAATAGACCTTTCGCAGAAGAGTCACAGTGTCACTGGGTGAAAGGTGGAAGAATGAGGGCGACAAGTTGAGGAATTTCAGAGGAAACTCAAATGGAAGTCACCATGCGAGAAAGGTTGACATTAGTTAAAAACATAACATCGCTTTTGGTGTTTTCAAATGCTGTACTTAATCTCCTTTTGCCCTCTGAGAGATAAATTAAAAGTCTTGAACTTTGAATTCCACTCTGACTTCTCATGTTAGCGACTCATTGAATTTGGTTTTCAGGATGCGTGGAGCAAAAAAAGGACTCCCCAGTGATAATAACGTTGGAGGAATTAATGGTGCAAGAAGTGCACAATTGCCGGAACACGTTCCATTGGAAAGTGCAGTGTCGTGGTCAAAGCAGAGCCAGAGCGGAATCCCTGATCAAATGGCACTTTTCTCAGTGGAGTTCACATTGGACTGTGGCCAAAAGTGATGACACAGTATTTCACCCTCCAGCTGCTTTCCACCCCATTTCCACCGCGACATTTCATTGCAGCCTCCCGCTAGGCATTAGATATTCTGCGGAGGGCCAGACAAATGAAATAAATTCATTTGGGAAAATGAGGTTATAAATTGTCGCGGTTTTCTTCAAAAACTCCCCACAGGTGCTGCATTGTGCAGAGGTGAGAGATCCAGCCTATGACCTCTTCTACAGCATTTAGCTTTGGGGGATTATTTAATGACGAAAAAATAATTCATGAGCTTTGGCATCCGAAATTCAAGTCAGACCACTGCAGAAATCACCCCTTCATGCTGGGCCACGGGCCACCGAGAATAGCCTGGCAATCCACTGGAGTGCAAGGCATTATATTGTGCATGGCGCCCATTTGGAATGTTGCACACGTCTGTTTGTATTGTCTGACAAGGCAGCAATGTAGCTCTCCCCATTTGCCCAGGTATATTCGTTGCATGGCGCCAAAAGGAGGGCGCGCGGCAAAATACGAAAATTTTGTCTCAAAACATTACGGATTGCATGTCTGCAATCAGCCGGCGGCGAGCGGGAAATCCCTCCGCAGTGGAGAGAATATGTGTGACAGAGCAATTTGAGATGCTCCTGGCTAAATTGACTGGGCGAACTCGGCTGTGGGTGAAGTGGAGTTAAAGCGAACAATGCGCTATGCAAAGATGGATCTTCGGCAGATGTTTTTCCAATGGATACCCGAATACGTATTTATTGTTTTCCCTGCCATTCACTGCACAACATCGTATTAGTTTTGATCCGTGGCTGATGGCAATTGTGACAGACTTCGAGTGCCTACGTCATAGTCGTTCATAGGGGGGAGCGGGGCGCTTTTGTACACTTCAGTAGAATGCTGCAGAAATGCTTGCTCACATGCCGGGAATCCTTTGATATGATGATTTTAGCTATTGCTGCCTTAGTATGTGAGAAAAACCCTGATAAGTATGCCAGGCGATAAGCACTTCGCATTTGTGCCTCGCTGTCCAACTGACACCCAGCGAATGCCTGCGAATTTAATAGAGCCATTTGGTGTTCTCCAAGGAAATTCCGGCATCAACCGCAGCCTGTTTAGTCCCACATGGCAAATTCGCCCATGGCAAGTGTCACACTGTGAGGGAATCTCGTCAAAATTGTGAAATTTAGTGGCTGCGAGGGGGATATGAGGGTGGAAATGATATCTTCAATCCATTTATGAGGTGTCAGTGTTCACTTTATGAAGTGGCAGCTTGACTGTATTTTCATTAAGAGATAGACAATCACACCGAGATGAGGCATCGTGGGTAAGTTTTGGGTGGGAAGCCACAAAACATGATATTTGAGGCCATCCCTCGAAATAGTTCTCGCCCAACCACGCCGAGATATCGGATGATTGCCGGGGCTGGGGGTGGAGCCGTGTGTGTGATGTATGGCTCCCGGTGGGGTCTTCCGGGGGTGGTGTGAAAAGTTTTCCTATAAATTTCCCTCCGGAAAGTTTTTCATAACAGGAGACGAGCGATGTGTGCCCTTTCCGAACTGGATTCGCCATCCTTTTACGATATTTTTTTTTTCATAGTCACTCAAATCTTGTAAATTTTATGTCTGCCTCCTAAAAAAGATTTTATTTGTGGGCTCTCCGAGGTGGAGATTTGTCGAAATCATTTTCAACATTGGCAAGACATTGATTGTTTTGCCAGTGATAAATAGCACTCAATATTGCAAAAGCACACTTGAGGAGTGAAGTATCCAATTAAATTATGGAAATTCATCGTGGGCCGAGTGAAACAAAGAGGGATTCATTTAAATTAATCATTTCGAATTTTTCATGCATCTTTTCCGTTTCCTTTCACCGCCTTTTTTCCCGCCATCCAACATGAGTGCTGCCTTTATTCCTCCTTTTGTTTCCCCCTTCCATGCCAGCAAAATGCGGAGAACGTGCGACATCTTCAGTAAAGTGGGTGGGTGGAAATCTTCACGGCTTGACTCTGGCTTTGGGAGGAGACGTCGCATTTAATCAGAAAAATAATAATCCAAATTGGATGAAATATTTCTCAAGATGATGAAGACATCAAGACACGCATCGAGACAACAATCCCGAGGGTGGAATTTCACCAAACAAGTCAAGCGAGAGAAGAAGCTGCTAAGATAAATTCTTAAACATTCCCACCCTATAAGAAGCCCGATAAAAAATTCTCGGCAAATTCGTAGGAAAAATCTACATTTTCCTTAATCTCTTACTTAAAATATGAAAGAGAATTTAAGAATTTCCTCTAAAATTCCAATACAACATTGACAACATTTCAAGAAATGTCGTTAGATAATCCAGAAATATAAGCATGTTTCTGGAAGAGTGTGTCGAATTTTCTCCATAGGACACACTTTTTACAGGGAGAGGAACATCCACGCAATCGTGGCCCAATTCTATCAATTAATATTACTGAGAGGCTTGAAGGACGCCTGAAAAAAGCGAGAAGAATTTTAAATATTATTCATTAATATAAATTAGCCTGTCGACAAGACAGGAAAATCCTCTTTTTCACTCCACGGACGTGCGAAATTCTAGAAATATTTAGTCATTTCACTTTGGGTATTTTTAATGAAGCTATTTTGAATTCTCTTTATGTAGCACAAAACTTGAGAAAAACTCGCAAGTTTGCGTACAATTTCTCATCTGCCTCACATGATTAATGTCAGTGCAATTTCTCACCTCTCCTTCCGATATGGGTTAAATAAAACAATGGCTTTTCGAATATTGATGTATGGAAAGTGCAATTTTTCCCCAATATCTCATCCAAGATATTCGAGGGATTTTCTCACGTTGGCACACCTCCGTAGTTGAATTGTGAATAGCTGGGAAATATTTCATGTTTTACTGTTTATTTCGCCCAGTGTTTAGCATAAAAAGCCCATTTCTATCCTCTGCAGCCCCTTTGCCACTATAATTAGTTGGGCCGAGTGGGTGTGAATGGCACACCTGAGGGATGGCGCGAATCCCATTGACCAGACTTTTTGCCAGACTGAATAAATTTTTCTCGCCGCCGCCGCCGCGCGAAATGATTCTGCAGAAGGTGTGGTAATCTCTGGTGCAAAGTCTTTTCATCCCGAAGTCCTTCATCAGCGACTGCGGGGAGGAAAATTAATATTTTATATGGAATAATACCTGGGAAAGAAGAGAGAAATGGAGAGCCCAAAACTATATGGTTCCCATTGGACAGTGGAGCACTTGAAGAAGGTGGGAAAAAGTGGAAAATGAGGAGAATAAAATTTCAGGAAAAATTTAGGTGGTGGGAAAAATTTTCGCAGTTCAACGGAAAAGACTTTGCAATGTGCTGAGTGTAAGAAATGTTCGGTATTTCACGCTAAAACCAATTAAAAGCCGCCCATTGCGAAACTCATCTTTATTCCAGCGAATATTAAGATATGAATCACAGTGTTGTGATTCCAAAGATTACAATACAGTCTCAACTGACTTTAGTTCGTGATGCGAGTTTAAGGTGTAAAATCGTGTGAAAAGATTTTTCAGCAATAATTTTTCCTCTCTTGCACGTGAAAAAGTGCTTGAATGGTGCTATGATTTTTCTTCATGATACCTTATTGTTTTAATTTTTAATTGAATCAGACTAAGGCCAGACCACAAATTCCATTTGGAGAATTTTTGCTTTTCTGATGCCAGCTACAAAAAAGTTCACGCCCCCGACAAAGGAGCTTTTGTGATGGAATAATTAATCTATGGCAGAGGCAAGAAGGATTGGAAGACAGAGGAAATCCCACGGTTGGGTAGCAATTTGGAATTGTGGCTGTGACAAGTCACACAAATATTTATGATTCCCAACCGCCGTCAATTGAGTGAACACGCCTGGCCCACCAACCAACCAAGGGCGGAGAGTGGGCTTCAATCTTTAATTACGATGTGATTTAAATCCAAGACAATAGCTTGGCAAACATGTCAAACCGTCACAAGAGGTACTTTCCGCTCCAGCTAGTTGCTATTTTGTCCCTGAGCACACACACTCCCAATCCCGGATAAGAGAAACTTCCCTCCATTGTTCACCGCAAGGACTTTTGCTGTGGCAAACAATATCCGGGCATTAGACGTCGTGGCTTCTTTCGTGTCTATGGGGAAAAGAGAGAAAAAATCCCGGAAAATCTCCCAAACGTGGAGGAAATGTGTGATTTCCCGTGAAAGCATTTATTCCCCGACAAAGTAGTCTCGACTAAGAACCTGGCTCCAATCATAAATCTTATTGGAAACTTTGGCCACAGAACAAATATTCCACACTGCGAATCAATTCTGCACAATAAGAAAAACTTGTTGAGAAAGTGACTGGAATTTTCCTCCTAATCACATTGCTTCTCATCAAAGAGACCCAAAGTTGTGTGGTAGTGCATATCAGTGATTCAGTGGCCGGGGCAAAAGTTGAGTGATTCGGAAAACTTGGAGCTGCAAGCTCAATTTGTCCCCACCAGAGCAACGACTGTGGCAATTCGAGGTGCAGAAACAATTCAGATGGCACTGACTTCTGCCACTTCTCTTCATTACCCCGAATAAAGTGTTGATTAGCCCCCAAACACAAAGTGCACATCTCCAGTAGAGCCAATTACGGAAGTCTTGTCAGCTCACCTTCAACTCGGAGGTTGTGGTCAGAGATTGATGAATAATTTATAGAATGATAGCGACAACTTTACTCAAACTTTCCACCCACACGAAGTATGGAAAAAACGTCTTGTGATGCGATAATTAATTTTTTCCTCAAACTGCTCCTCAATCACGCGTCGAATTATGAGTAAATTTAATAGGAACTGCACTTACAAATTGACTCAGACACCCTTTTCTCCGTCCCACAGAAACTTTTCCTCTCCGCTCAGCGTTAATAAATGTCCTCCTGGAATGTTTTAGTGAGAGTGCGGCTCTTATTTTGTCCTCACAACAAACCATGACCAAGTTAGTAAGAAGGAGTATGCGCTGGGCGACTTTAGACGGCCTCAGAACAACCTCGGAATCACCGAAATCAAGCATGATCAAGTAATAAAATATCACGTCAATATCTCACGTGGAATGAAATTTTGAAGTCAACAAATCCACGCATTACACTCAAAGTGTTCAAGCTGCAGAAGTTTCGCCAGGCGCAGTACACAAACCTTGCCTGATGGCAATTTGCATCCTGCGAGGCTGTTTATCGAGTTACTCTCCAAGAGCACTCTTGCAGAGGTGAAAAAGCACCCATAATGGCTTTCTGCTGATGCCAATTTACCACGGAAGAACAGTCTTTTACTACTTACAAGGCGATTTTTATGTGCTGTTCTTCGGCACTTTCGCAGTGGTCAATTAAATTACTTGCCCACCCGAGGCGCTTCCAGAGATGGCACGTATCATTGGAACTGAATAAATAAATTCATTTGCCGAATGTGCTGATGCCACATAGATTATTGGCCAGGAAACTGCCTCGGAGTCAATGAAGTGGATTGAATTTATGTACAACGCCATGCAATCAACAATCAAATCAACAATGTTTATCGCATTCCCCCAAGGCACATGGTGAGGATTATCCCAGTCCCGCCAGTTTAGGGTTTCTCACTTTATGAGTGCCAAAATTGCGATGGCAAGGATGACCTGCGGAGATGAATTCGCATGGTTCTTCGGCGCTTCCCCCGGCCACGAAAGTGAGTGCAATCCGACGCAGAAAACTCAATTGGAAACTTGTGAGTGTCTCTCTTGGCAATGTTTGCATCTCTGCAATGTCACGATTGGCAAATATTTACACCACAGTACTCCCATTTTCCCAATAACACACTCATCGCGCGTCTCCTCGTCCCCAGAAAACTCCAGCTCGCTTCACTGCGTCGCACAATTGAAAGCGCTCGGAGACTTCTTGGAGGTTCTCGTGGGTGGCATAAGGCATTCATTGATCTAATAAATTTACCAAAAAATTCTGACACAGAATATTATGAATACACGATGGTGATGAAAAATTGTCCCGGACAGCAACAAGTGGTAACGAATAAAATGGAAATTGCCAGCATTTCTCGCCAAATTGATTCCATCAAATTTCAATACCATCGCTTTCTCAGTCATTATTAAAAAGGGAAGATATAATTGAGTCATTTTCTGCACTCAATTTGACTGAGAATTCAATTGAGGAATGCGTGTTGAAAATTTGTTAGAGTGGATTCAAAATGTAAAGCCAAGTGTTTTTTTTTCCACCATTTCTAATACATTAAATTAAAAACTCTATTTTATCAGTGATTCATGTAATTCCTCTTCCTGTCACTGGATATAAATCAACCGTCTCAGTAATGTTGCTGACTTGCGAAAATACTGATTCGCGCGAAAAAGTGTGTCTCCCAGAGACTCAATGCAATCCATCGGGACGCCGCTAATCACCTCCTCATCCTCTCGGTCCATCGATTTGGGGATTGATGGCATCCAGTGTGTCGTAATGGGATCCGAATCCTGTGGATTTGACTTTAAATTGGGTGAAAGATGGAAAAGTCAAGTAATGATGGTCTGGCGTGCAGATGAAGTGACTAGGAGTTGCGAAGGGGAGGCGATCATGCGCATTTTGCGGGAGGGAAAATGCGGGAAAACATCCACACTTTGCCAGGGGAGGACATTTTTGCGAAAGGAAGCTCTCTGGGCAGAGGAAGTGATGGGCTAATTGGGTGAAGGGAGGGCATCTCGGGTTGGATAATTTGCATCTCGATGCCAGATGATAATTAGGGTGGGAATGCAATTACCATAAACGTGAATGGAATTGAGGAAAATCCACCAAGTGAATTAAGAACTTTATTTCAAATTCAATTCGGACACTCTTCCTCAGTTTGTGAAGATGCTACTCTGGACTAGTGGAGAGCTCATGGCTCGTCTCTAGGGTCATGATTCCCATCTGGGTGATTTTCCCAGGGCGGCGAAAAATTTCATGAGATTGACACGATGATTGTCAGTGTGGCAAAATTGTTTGGAAATCTCTCATGTTGTCATTCCATTTGCCATCTGATCGAAGTGGTGAATAAAAAGTGAGTGGAAGAGTGTAAATGAAAATAAGGCATAAATTATTGAGATTATTGATTAGGACAGTTCACAGCTTCTCCTTATCCTTCGAGAACCTTTTCCTGTCACCCTTCACTCTGTGTGCTTCAAACAATCATGTTCCCAGAATATTCAATTTACTCGATAAAACACCGGAGACACTGGCTGTGTCAGAATGTCCGAGATGCATCAATAAAATAGCGTTCGATTGAAATTAAAATCAGACAAATTGCATTCCTCCATCAAGCTGCTCTTCCTTCTCAGCTGCATTTTCTTTAATTTCACATCCAATTCAAGATAAATACGCCATCATCAATCATGATGCAATCTCTCTTTCCCATCTCGGCTGCACTGTTGATATTTTCCCGCTGCCCTTTCCCATGGATGATGAATGGAAAAAAATCCCCGATTACATCCTCAATTTCCCGCAAATTTATTTAACTCCCCCTTCCATCACACAAATGAGTATCATGTCAGCCAACAGAGGAGCATTCTTTTCGCCCCTGAGAGGAAAAACTCGCGACGAGTGCAAACAATTCGAGTCCATTTAGTGGAGTTTGTTTATTTGATAAGGAAGGCATTACCCGGCAATTGAGGCAAATTTGTGCTGTACACCATCTGGTGGAAGTCAAATTGCCTGGGGGTGGCTTTTTGTCGTCTGGCTTATTCTTTGTAATGAAATTGTAGCAAAAAGAAGAGTCCGGATTGTTTCTTTACGATTTTCCCAGGAGAAAACAGCACTGAAGAATGAGATAAATACATTATATGTATTAAAAGCATATAGATATATTTCCTGATGTAGACAAGTTGAATTTGTCATAAGAAATTTACGAAAAACACTTTACTATTCATCGTATTTCACACAAATCATTCTTTTCAGTACACTTTTTCACAATTATTTTAAGAATTTTTACAGCTTGTAAATCAATATCACACATTGCCATAGTTTTCATGCTGCTATATTTATTATGTAAATGAATAAAGAGTGAACTTAATAATTAATAATAAGCAAAATTTGAATAAGATCCAAAGCATTGTGAAATGTAATTTTAAAAATTAAATTTTGCTCTTTTTACGCATGAAAAATTATATAATTTTAACATACAAACTGAATAATAATGCGAATACATTCTATAACTTATCGCCTCTCAACGTAAGGCAATGCCATTTATGGCTTTGTATTACTTCTCGAGAGTACAATTGCCTGTGAATTTCAGTCTAGTTTTCCCGGCAAACTGCTATCCTTTCGGAAAATCGATTGGGTGACACCAGAGCCGTTCGATAATTATGAATAGAAATGCTGGGAGGCGATATTTTGCCAAATCCAAATGGTCGGAGGAGAGCCATTCGTTTTGGGTGGGATTGAGCAATTGCGATTGGAAATTCAATCAAATTTATTACACATATCCAATGGCTGCCGATAAGCGTGTCTCGAGCTTCCACATTGACCTTGTTTACTCCTCAGGCGATAATTGAGAATTCCCTAGCATTTGATGGGATTTCCTTTGAGCGACAACGCGTGGAAGAATGCACAAGGATGCTGACCGTGGAGTGAGACATTCACTTTGGCAATCTTTTAAACTCACACCTAATGAAACGTGAGGGTCTCGATCTCTGGCACGTGATGGGAAAATCAATTTAACCCAGGGAGGAGTTTGGCATCATCCCTGGCAAGTGCGTGAATGAGAAATCTATCACTAAATTTAATCTTGTGATTCGGAGAAGCTCTGGAAAAGAAAGCACTTCACATGGAATTTTCACTGGAGAATAGAAAAGAACATCCTTTATCAGCACTCTTCACGTGAAGTGGGCGAAAAGACGGACTCATTCCTCGGGAGACAACGAGCAAGACTTGGGAAAGTCTCACCGGGAAAATAAATCTTCGCCTCACACCCACAATCATTATCCATTCATTAGTCTAATTAGACGAGTCATTACAAGTATCCTGGATGTGCACTAAATTGTGCTGATAGAGAAAAGAGTGTTTGGAAGAAAGTCTTAATTGCACTTCTTATCCACTCTTGGCGAGATGATTCCCATGCAGATTTTCCACTGAAAATGATTTAATGTATGGAAAATTATTGCTCACTTCTTCTTCTGCACTCGTGATTAATTCCACAGATATTTTTCCACTCCAATTTCCGTCTCTAGCTTTTTTCTGCCAGAATGTCTTTGCTGAGGAAAAAAAAAGTCTTCAGGGGCTGATAATTTCTCTCGCAATGCAAATGTTGTGATTTCTCCACACTTTGTACGTGTCTCTAGCCACATTTTGCCGCCCTTTTGGCGCTCCTGCTCAATTTCTCAAGATCATTTGCGTGGGAAAGGACTTTCCTGGCAGCCGTGCGACTCTGGGTCGTTTGGAACAGTCATCAAGTCCGCCCCAGCAGTGATAAAATAAATCCTGGGGATTCATTCTTTACAATCACTGTCCAGTTGCGTCCATCATCGCGCGCCTTCGCTGGGCATAAAAGCAATAATGTGTTGGCCAAATGAAGTGAATGTCGGCCAAGATTATTTCTTCATCAATTATAATGTCTTCCCCATATTTAATTTACGCCTCAGCCCAACATATTTATGCTTGTAATAAAATTTCCTCCCACTTTTCTCAGGGCGTCCCAGGAAAAAATGTTGCGCCCAAGGAAATAACTTTCCTCGAGGGTCTCCCTCAACCATTGAATTATCGGTTTGCCCAGTTTCGGGTGAGAAGCTATCAAAGTTTCTTAAATAACTTTCCATCTCTCGCCAATTCTCCGGTTTTTGCTCTGGCCACAAAATGCGGAAAATTGCGATTTGCTAGTGATGAATTTTATCACGGCAAATTGTGCATGAATTTTCCCTCTCTCTCTCCCCCCTAAAACAGTGTTTTGTGATACGAAGTTTTCCTCGCCAATAGAGAAAATTCTTCCGCCCATTTGCCATGAAGAGCAGAGCATGAGAGAGAGAGAGTGGTGAAAAATCACTCGTGATCCCTTCTGCAATGCAAATTGATACCTCGGCAACTGAATTGTCAATTAGGGAAATTGCTCAATAATCCTTGATTGAGTGCACCCAAAGAGCTTGAGAATTTCTGCCTTTGTGTGTGGCGAAAATCCATATCGTGTATTTTTCCCCCGCTAGAAGCTTAATGAAAAATGAATTTCCTCTCCTCAAAAGCATTGAATGCCAACAATACCATCCATCCCAAGTTCTCTGCCAGCGCAGCGACCAATTTTCAGTGCTTTCCATGACAGAGCTTTCATTGTAATTTCCTCCTTCCCTCTTCCGGGAAATCCATTTTTTATTAAAAAATCACAGGTCATTCTTATGCTGAGGAAAGAGAAATATATGCACTTTTGGTGACTTTTCAGCGATGCTCCCTTGAGCCCCACTTGAATGAATTGTTGCCGTGGAGAAATCGTAAAGGAGGGTTTGGGGTAATCCTAAGAGGTCGATAAAATTGCAAATATCTCTTGCGCGGTTGAGAGACATGAATCTCTCGCGTTGAATATAAGGAATATTTCAGTTTCCCCAACAGTGGAAAAACCTGATCACTGGGGAATTTAAATATACAGAACAAATTTAAGGTCACAGAAATTCGGCAAACCACATAAAATGCCAAATTTTGACACATGAAACTGTGACAGTAAAATATTTGTCACATTGACAGAAATTTGAATGCAAATCACTGCGAAAATCTCCACGTTATCCCCATTAGTGAAGCTTGTCGGCTTTCTCATTGTTGGGAAAGCATTTATTCTCTGCTCAGCTGCATTCTTTTCCACGGTTCGGCGAGAATGTCTGATGCAGTGACAGGCGATTTGCCTGCAAGACGAAGAACGAGGGCGAAATTGCATTTCCCGCGAACCGGAGTGTCTGTGGCACTCGACATTTAACTTTTGTACCTTCGCTGCAGTCATCTTACCAAAGTGTGGCAGGAACGGGTGTTCGCCTTAGTCCTGAAATCTGACCATTTTCACGGCAAAACTCTCTCACTCTCTCTCGCCCCAAATGTGGGTGGGAGCAATTGATCTCATCCTTTCGCACAAATTCCTCCATTAACCTTTTTCCTCTTGATACACAGTCTCGCTCTCTCGACAGAAGAGGAAAAGATAATTTAGTGTTATTTTGTGGAAATTGTCCAAGTGAAAAATTGCTTGTCCCTCATTTCTCTGCAGCCTGGCATTTTTCCTCAAACACCCAAGACGGAAAATTCAAAGGTGGAATGGGGAAAGTGGGTGGGATGAAAATGTTGCCATTCGCAGAACAGCAACGCCACAATTAACGAATCTCTTCGTAGACATCCAAAATAATTAATTGGTAGTGGATGGAAGAGTGAATGTGATCTGAAAGCTCAAGATTGTGCAAGTATCTTTGGGGAGAAATCAGAAATCAGCAACTTTTTTCCTGCAAGCTCTTGTTGTTAGGTTTGGCAAAGTGGCTTCTCGCCACGAAAATTTGGCAACATTTCGTTTCCACACTTTATCGCAATCCGATTTCTCACTTTTTTTGCATCTTTTGAAACCTATTCGCGCTGAAATATTTCGGCCAAAAAAGAGTTCTGCCGGGCAACGTTTTTTCAAGGAAATTGGTCACACTCACATCGCATTTTCATTTTGATCACTTAACTTTTTACGAGGTAACTTTTCTCGGCAAAGGATAAAAGAGCTTGTTGCTTCCATTCTCTCTCACACCTCGCATTCGTCCATTGGCACGTCAACGGAGTAAATCAAGTCCCTTTTTTGCCAACTGCCCCAAGAGAAAAAAGCCAGCATTGGGCGCCGAACGAGGAAGTCATGGACGATGGATTCTCCTTTTCGAAGGGGTGAAGTTGCTCGTAAATAAATATTTTCATTTACTCATGGCGAAGTATACTGATGTCACCTGACAACTTTGGCAGCAAATATTTCAGGGAAATTCTGCTTTTTTCTCTGACTCAACAATTGCAAGAGATTCCCTGAGTTGGAGCAAACAATCATGTGCTGGCTAATATCACAAATTACTTATCTAGAACTTGACAGTTATTTGACAGCTGTCAAAAATTAAAACCCGTTCGCCTATAAATCCCCGCGACAAGAGTTGCAGAACACGAATCGCGCCGACAAAATAATTAATGCAAGTGGTGATTAATGGGCGATTGCGGTGACGGATAAATGAGTCAGTGAACCAATGAGTTCGCGGCGGTGGCGTCACATTCGCAACCATACTCCGTCACTCACGTGCAATGGAGCACCACAAGCCAGAATTGCGATGCTTTCTGCCATGTGAATGGGATTTCAAGGATGGCCCGCATCCGCGCTTTAAAGACACCCGATAAGGCGGAAAGACGACGAATATTGACTGCGGCTGAGTCGCTCTTCATCCCCCATGCTGCACAGTACAGTTCTGGAATATGATGCGGTCTCATGCATGACCAACTCTTCGAGAACGTCACAGATGCACTCAATAAGGATGCCCAATTAGCAATGGGAAACTAATTTGGTATATATTCCAATAGAATTGCATTCAACTATCGCACCATTTTCACAGTGAGTAGGTAATTTGCTGCACAAGCTCGGCCTGCGTCTCTGAAGAATATGTGCAGTCAGACTGTGATGTCAACAGGAAAGGGACGTGTTTTTTGCTTAATTACCTTACATTTTTGTTGAAATTTATGACTTGGAAGACTGGTAGGTACGCATGTTACAGAAAGAAAACGACAATAAATTCTCTTATGTGATTTTGAAATCTCGATTGGTGGGTGGAAAACTTTCATGGCAGCAAAATAATTCGTCAGTTTTTCAAAAAATACTACAGGAAAATTGAAATTAACCCACAAACTACACTTCACTATACGCAATATAAATTTTAATTTTAATTTTAATTTGTTCTTGTGAGAATGCTTCTGGAGTACAAAGATGATTTAATGTGTATTTTCCATGAGTTTGTTTTAAGAAACAGGATAACCGCGCAAAATCCCAGACACAAACCGTAATAGTCAGTGCAGGGCATCAGGTGTCGCTGCTGGCGGGAAGGAAAACGAGATTTTTGCATGCCGTCAAATTGACAGTGGCACAGTTTTTCACACGCAGGAATTCACATGAAAATTCGAAGGAATCTCTATTTATATTTACACACTTAAAATCCAATGTGATATTATCACCAATGAACACGTTAATCCATGTAAATCTCAGTGTTCCCTCGTAAAAATTGATATTTGGTGTTGTGTCGTCGTGATTCCGCACTGTTTTCGGATATCCTTTGCCCTCTTTTTCTGCTCTAAATTTTTTCCTCTTCCCGTGGCGGAGGAGAAAATTCGGTGTTGCGCGAGAAAGGGCCCCCCCATTGCAAGCAATAATCCCGCGGCCGGATCGGAATCATGAGCCAAGTGGGTGAAACACACATTAAAAGCACAGAGAAGACGAAACAGGAGCAGGTTATATTTGTTGAGCGCCGCGCCAGTCACGCCACGAAGTCCGTATTGATTTCGGCGTTTGCACTTCTATCTTTGCAGCTTCTCGTCCACCTGATTGTGGGCTTCCGCGAGATATGCATCGTCACCGCTGCCCTGCCTCTGGTCACCCTCGTGATGTGCTTCATCACAGCCTACATCTTCCAGGCAGATGAGATCCACGAGACGCACTGTCGCGTGTACAACGTGATCCCGTCGATCAGTGCCATCACGGGCGTGAGCCCGCAGCGCTACTTCTGGCGCGCCTGCATCGCCTTCCACATAGGGCCCCGCGTGGCCATCGCGGCCGTGTACCGCAACTACTACGGCAACCTGGTGGGGCGCATCCGGGACGCGAAGGTGCAGAAGCGCGCGCGCTGCCTCGTCACGGCCGTGTTCGTGCTGAACCTCATCGAGATCGGCGCGCTGTGCGGCGTGACGTACGTGTCGAACCGGGAGAACTACCCGATCCACGAGAAGGTCTTCATCACGTTCATGATCTGCTCCCTGTGCCACATGCTGGCCACCATTCGCCTCAACGAGTCCACCGCACGAGTCTCCCCCGCCGCCCGCGAGTCCGCCCTGTTCTCGCTGCACTGCAAGAAGATGCTCTTCTTCCTCAGCATCGCCAGCACGGCCGGCCTGGTGCTGTTCTTCCTCAAGCACCGCTTCCTGTGCCACGACATGGCGTTCAGCTGGTTCGCCCTGTGCGAGTACATCATCGCCTCCGCCAACATGGGATTCCACTGCACCACCATGCTCGACTTCCCCACCGAGCACTTCATCGTCGCGCGCGGGGCGGAGCGCCTCAAGAACCATCGAGAGTACAAATTTGAATAATGATTTTCCACGTGACCGAGCGAGTCCGCGGGCCGAGTAGTCTTGGCGTGTCTCAAAGTATTTAGTAATTTTACTCATTTGTAGGACAAAATCCATGACAATGGACAGAAAAGAGTATTTAACAGTTTTTAGGCGAGAGAGTAACTACAATTTATAGTCATTAATTAATTCCATTCAAGTCATCCCGAGTGGCTCTAACTTAACATTTAGAGAGAGAGAGATGTGAAGGGAGAGAGAGTGAAAACCTTGCAATTTTTCAGCTCATATTAGTTGTTTGTAGGATTAGAAGAGAATCGAGTACGTGAGCATTGTAGGAAGAGAGAAGCGTAAAGTGATTCTTTTGCATTTTCGCACACCAAAGAAACTACTTGTTAGTAAATTATTGCTTTTCTTCCAAACGTCCCAGTATTCCTAACCATAGAATAGTGACTAAAGTGATCGTCGACAGGATAGAAGAGCTGATATAACTTATGTCTTGCCATTTACTAACAACTTCCCATCGATTTTTTGAGATGTTAAGTTTAAATACACATTTATGTTTACAATTGCATTAGCATTACAATTGGAGATTGCATGAGAGGCAGTCCATTGAGCGTCATTTAGTCACTCTTAAGCAGGTTCAGTTGTACTTATCTCATGTCAATTGATATTGAATAAGAATTCTCGCCTACATTAATTGCCATAAAATGCACGCACTAGTCGAACTAAGTGATAGACAAGATTATTTTTCTATTTATTATTTTTTTAGTGTTGTATAAGCATTCTATTGATGAATTAATACCAAAGAATTCAAGTGATGAGATTCTTCACATTATTTTCTATTTAAGAGAATATTTAGTGACAATGATAAAAACAATTAACATATCTCTTGAGAAAAAAAAAACGAAAAATCTCTACTGTACTTGCATATAATTACATTTGTAGAGTATAACATATTGAATTATAAACACAGACCCAAAGAGAAAATAAATTAACTAAATTCCTTCAACGAGCCGCCCGTTTGAATTGCGCGCCAAGTGCTCGCGCGTGTCTTCGCGCGCGCGTTCGCGGTTGGGCACAGTGTGAAGTGCGCCGCGAGTCGGTGTGAGTCACGCCTAGCGGGAAAGCCGATGAGTTCGTCGATGGCAGCGCCACGAGCGTCTATTTGTCGTGCAAATGCCTTTGTCTAAGAATCCAAATAAAATTCCGCAAATTCCATTTGGAGCTATTTTGTTGTGTGATCGTGAAAAGTTAGTGAAAAATCCACCGCATCGGTGTCAATCGATTGGCTGAGTGGTGGGAAATCGTGACGAGGGCCCCAGGAGACTGCTTGTTCGCTCGCGGAGCGAGGAAATTGTGTGTGTTTGTGCAGCCCGGAGGCTCTTCTGTCGCTGTTTGAGGGCGAAAGAGAAGGTGCCCCCGCCAGTGGAGGCACAAACGCCGCGAGTCCCATTTCTGGATTATTCACCGCTTCTTTCTCTTCTGGTGAGTACCCGTGCTTTCTTTCCCCGCAATCTGCAAAGTGGTGTGTGCCAAGAAAAGCCACCTCGGAGGCGATTCTCTCGCTTCCCATTGGCGTGATGCTCGACTCGGCGACAAGAGAGGCAACAAATCTCTCGCGCCTCACCGCGACTATTTGGGATTATTCAACACGAGCGATTATTTTAATTGTAGGTGATGTCAGTGAAGTTCACACGTCACGGCCGAACAGGCGGCGAGAGTGTGTGCGTCGAACTGCAGTTAAGCGAGCACTTCTTGACTGATAAAAGCCATGATAAGTGCTCGCATTAGGCGCGCCGCGCTTCCTGGCGCTGTGATTGTCAAGTTGGCCAATTCGGGGCCTTTGCTCGGGCGAATAAGGATCAAGTAGGTCGTCTCAAGTCTGACGATTCTAGGCTTTGTTCACCGCGTTTCTCACGGCTTGGAATCCAATTCTAAAATCTCAAATTTTCTTGGTAGTTAGGCTAGTTGGGCTGGCATGGATTGGGCCGATCTGAAGATCACAAATGCCCACACTTTCCTAGAACACAAAGCGAAAATTTTGAAGGTCTTTTTAACAGAGAAGTATTGATTGAATAAAACTTCTTGTCGAGATTGCTTAAATCTTGCGTTAAATCAGCGCGGAAAGAAGTTGAAAGAATTTTTCTTCAAGATTATCTAAGATCTTGAAATATCTGGAAAATGTACAGATTCTTTCAGATGGTTTTCCTGGTAAAATGAACACAACAAAAGAGGAGAGATCCAGTAAACCTAGAAACTTGACTTGTACTTAGTTTGCCTCGCCATCAATTCCATTACGACTGCAGTAACTGTGAGCAATAACTAATGGACACCAAAGATAAAGAGACACACTCAAGTGCCACTGGGTGGAACGTGCAACCGTGTCTTTTCTCTACATATTTATTTACCTTTTATTGTTCCCGATCGCTGGGAATGCAAATTTTCCGTGCGACTTGACGTTCTTATCGCTGCAACAGCAATTTCTCGGTGGCCAAGGGATTGACAAAGCTGAAGACTTTGAGTCGATCGGGCCATTTCCCCTTCCGGCCAAGAATCCCCGGGTAGCGCGAAGAAAGCGAGATTTGCTATCAATCGCGCGCGATTAGATTAGATATTCACGGTGAGAGCAAATTGGCAACAATCAAATGTGGAAAATATCGGCTTTCTCGGGATGGAAAAATGGGAGGGCGGCAGAGGGGAAGAGCACGATAAGCGTTATCTATGCCTGTGCCCACTTGCCTGGCTACACACAGAATGGCAGCCGAAAAAAAACCAATCATGGCTCGAGTACTTTTCACCTTGTTACCTAATTCGCAAGGCAGGAAAGTTTCGGCCGCCACAACTTCTGGCCCAGAGAGTGCTTAGACATAGGAAAGAGGCAAGAAGACCCACACCGAACGAGTCATTAAAGTATATTTTTTGCACCTGAAACTTCTTGGAACGATTTCCGGTTGTAATCCATTTCCAAAGTTATTTTATTCTTGGCTCATGCCATTGATGCGCACGTTTGTTGGCTAATTTTGGAATATAGAGGCTCACTTTGCGTTTTGAGATTCCCTCGCACTATTATTGTCTGGGTTTATGTTGGGAAATCACACCCAAAAATGTTTGTGTCGAGAAGATAAACTCGAGAGAAGATGAGACGATGGATAGCAGCGTTTGAGAGTGATCGATGGGTGAATCAAAGCGATGAATCTCTCTACAATTGACCATATTTTAATCCCCGAATCGGTGTGATGGATTTCACTTGCCACTGTCAATTGGTTGTGATGCAAAAATACAAATTTCCCGTCCATTTAATTGAACTGAGAGTAATTTCTATCCCTAAACACCATCGTTTATTTATTTAATCCGTGTCATTTTCCCCACCATTCATTGTTTCCCAATCGGTGTATTTTCTGCAATGAACTATTGCATTGGTGCAAGTGCAATGGGTTGAGCGAAAAAAGGAAATCAATATGAAGGTGAAATTTAATGAATCCCTGACAATTGAATTTCCCTCACAGTTTGTGTGTGAATGTGAACTAGAAGAGACACACATTGAATTTGGCTTCTGATGTGTTTGATGCTCGTGGGGAAGGATAAAAGAGAGTGAGGATGAAAAATCAAATGGCTTGCAAATTGATGTGCAAAGCGCTTTTCTTCCCAAAATTATCATCATCATCATTGTCATTAATGGTTACACTGTCTCTCGCATAGAAGTGAACTCTGTGCTCGCCGGAGTTCGCAAATGGACTTGATATATTGTCACTGGCTGAGTGATATGACGGCAGTTGTTGAATTCTGTGTGTGGCCACGTGAAATTCATCGTTGTGGGGCTGCAAAGTGGTCGAGCACTCGCCAAAGTTGCGAGCCTTCGCGCCCCCTGTGCTCAGAAGGGGGAGAAAAGCGTCAACTGAGCAGAAATCGAGAGAAACTCCACACACAGAGTGTGCGAGTGAGAGGGAGAATTTGCAGATGATGTGGAGCCGAACAGGGCGTGAGCGAGACAGTGCGAGAACGCGCACAAATTGCACATTACAGCAGAAATGTGTGGTGGGCTTCAATGTTGGATATTACATTTTGAAGAGAGACTCAGTCAGTAAGAGTCTGGCAAGGGAGGCAGAGCAGGAACTCGAGTGATTCGTCAGCGACACTGGTCGCAATAATAGCCCAAATATTCGTGCATAGTTGTTTCTGGCAAGTTTCGCAGGGTTTATTGATGAGTTGGGTGGATTGCAAAAATAAGTCGTCACGCTGTGATGCCGAAGAAGGTGAAAATTGAAGCTTCTGACTAAAGGTCTGAAGAGTGAGTCGTTGGCGCCGAAAAAAGCACCGCGCGGAAAGTGAGTGCCGAGAAGAGATGATTTGTGTGAAAAACAGAGAAAGAAATTCATGTGCAAGTGCATTCGAGAGGTGTGATTTGGTCGAAAACAAAACAATTACTCTTGAGAAATACAAATGGGATCTTTGCACCTCATACGCCGATTCAAGTGGTCAATGTAGAGCTCTCGTGTGAGCCGTTGAGTGATAAGGACGACGGACAGAGTGATCGTGAAATTAATCCTATTCTAATTATTTGGAGGAACTCCATAAATTCACCCCTGAAGATTGTGTTGTTGTCATTGCGCGCTGTTGTGTGTTTCCGGGGGGAAATAGGGGTGGAAATTTATGAGTGCGAATGAATTTTGAATCCTTGAAAAACATTCTCTGCTAAGCGAGGAAAATAATTTTGAGAGACAAACAAGATACATCAATATTTCGTGCGATTGTCTATGTTTTTATTATTTAATGCATTTGTGACACTATCCAAGAATATTCCGCATAGCAAAAATATTGATTGGTTTCTGATGTGAAAAAGTTGATACAATTTACTTGTGGACAACAACTTTTCCAGCCTCTTATCAATGGATTGTGATTACTCAAAGCTATTCTATGCTAAACGTAAGTTTTCTTTTTGCTGCTTGATCTTGAATGTGTACAATAAATTTGTCATGTATTTTTTGTCACTACTTCTTCCATGTACAATTTTATTGGGCACATAAGTAGCTATATAAAAATAAATTTATCAATTTTCATCGCGATGATTCTGACACATGAAAAATGGCTACAGGATGGAAAGTGAAGCAAAAAAACAGCAATATTGAAAGATGAAGATGCTGAAGATGTCAGGAATAAATTAGAATCTTTTGGGCTCTTCTCTTTTCATCCACAATACAAGACTTCTTATGTTTCACCTCTAGTGTAAATTATTCGGAGATGTTAAACACTTTATGTAAACGCCATGTACATGTTTTCGTACATAACAGACTGAGGGAGAAAGAAAGAGAAAAAAAAGTCGAGGAAAAATAACACTTTTCCTTGTTACTTTCGGTTTATATATATATTTTGCTGTATCGAATAGACACTCTCTGCAAATGTATAAGAAGTCTATCAGGACGATTGCCAAGATGGTTCTATTTTTAGGCGGTCTTTTTAAATTATTGTGTCTCTCCGTCTCTGTCTTTTCCTCTTTTTAAAATAGTTTCATTATTAGTTTAGTCGCTTCTCTCAAATTTATAACATTTTGGATGATATTGAAGTGAAACTTTTGGAAATTATTAGAATTTCTGCTTGCTCACGATGAATTCTCCCTCCACACTTATCTTGAGAGTGTTAATTCGATAATTGTGGAAAATATCGCGATTAATGTTGACAATAATCTGCAATTATGGACTAATAGTTGGAGAAAAAACACTGTTTCTAATTCGCACATGAGTGTGAGTTTAACTTTTTTCCTCAGCTTCCTTCTATTGACACAGGTGTTTAATTTGGGGTATTTTCCATAATTCTATTTGGGTCGAATGCAATTATTGCAGAAATGACACATCTTTGAACGTCTCTAAATTGCATCACAGTCTTTATGCCAATTACCAGATACTTAATGTGGCAATTTTCTGTTTTATAAATAACCCTCAATTATATCTATTTGACTGTGGGAGAGAAAAAGATTGACACCATAAATCTAGAAGAAATGCTTAAATTTTCACAATG